AGTACGGGAAGGAGGCTCTTAAGACGGATAAAGTCACTGCTACTCTTATGTCAAAGGAGACAAGGAAGAAGACTAGCAGTATTAAATCTCACGAGAAAGTTTCTTTGGAAAACACAAAAAGAGTTATGAAAGGGGCAGATTAAATCAAAAGAGGTCTGGAAGTAGAAGTCAGTCAAAATCGAAGGGGAAGGGCAAGTTTATTTGCTATTACTGCAAAAAGGAATGTCATATGAAGAGAGATTGCCCAAAAAGAAAGGAGAATATAAAGAGGATAGAAATAGGAAAAACATCTGATGAAGCTAGCGTGATCGATAGCTCTGACAGAGATGATGATCTTCTCTCTATATCTTCAAGTAAGAATCAATATACTGATTCTTAGATTTTAGATTCTTGTTGTTCTTTTCATATGTGTCCAAATAGAAATTGGTTCGAAACCTACAAATCATATAGTGGTGAGTCTATTCTAATGGGGGACGATGCAGTATACAAGACCATTGGAATAGGACCTATCAAAATCAAGATGTTTGATGGGATAGTACGAACCTTATCAGATGTGAGGCATATCCCACAATTAAAGAAAAACTTAATATCTTTGGGGGCTCTTGATTTGAATGGTTGCAAGTATACAGCAACAGGTGAAGTCCTCAAAGTTAGTAAGGGAGTTGTCATGAAAGGTCAGATGACTGGGAACCTATACAGGTTGATAGGGAATACAATTACAGGTGGAGCTTCCGCAACCACAGATGTTGAGTCCAACACAGATGACACAAATCTGTGGCATATGCGTTTAGGGCATATGAGTGAACGAGGTGTGATGGAACTTCATAAAAGAAAATTGGTGAAGGGTGTCAGAGCCTGTAAACTGGATTTTTGTAAGTATTGTGTTTTCGATAAATATTGCAAGATTAGATTCAAAACTGCAATTCATATGAGCAAGGATATACTAGATTATGTACACACTAATGTATGGGGCCTTCACCAATCAAATCCTAGGGTGGGGCAGAATACTTCATTACCTTCATTGAAGATTACTCTAGAAAGGTTTTGGTCTACTTCATGAAACACAAAAGTGAAGCATTCACGAAGTTTAAACAATGGAAAGCAGAGGTAGAAAGAAAGACAAAAAAGAAACTGAAATGGTTGAGATCAAATAATGGAGGGGAGTACAAGTCTAGAGAATTTCAAGAATTCTGTAAAGAAGAGGGGATTGTACGTCACTTTACCACACCAGAAATTCCTCAGCAAAATGGTGTGGCTGAGAGGATGAACAAGACTCTTTTGGAAAGAGCTCGTAGTATGAGATTGAATGCAGATTTGAAGAAAAGATTCTGGGCAGAAGCAGTTAACATGGCCTGTTTCATCATTAATAGGTCACCATCTACAACGATTGATTGCAAAATTCCAGAGGAGATGTGGACAGGAAAGCCAGTAGATTACTCTATGTTGAGGATCTTCAGATGTCCAGCCTATGTCCATGTTCAAAGTGGAAAACGTTCCAAATTAGACTCTAAGTCTAAGCAATGCATCTTTTTCGGTTTTTGAGAAGGGAGTGAAGGGATTCAATCCTACTTCACATAAGGTAGTGCTTAGCAGGGATGTTGTGTTTGATGAATCTCACATGGTGAAGTCAATCAACATGCAAGATGACAAGGTGCAAGTAGATGAAAGTGATGGAGAAAGATCGACAGTCCAGGTGGAGCTAGAAGAGTCTGAAACACCAGAAGAGGAAAAATCATCTAGCAGCACAATAAAACAGCAACAATCACATGGTGAACCCTACAGTTTGGCAAAAGGCAGAAAGAAACGTGTTCACAAAGCCCCTGTGAGATACGGCTTTGAGGACATGGTAGCCATTGCTCTAACTGTTGGTACTGGAGAAATCGACTCCTTCGAAGATGCTCTAAGTGATGCACAGAGTGATAAATGAATGATAGCCATGATGGAGGAGATGAAGTCTCTGAAATAGAACAAGACTTGGGAGCTTGTCAAGAGGCCCAAGGGAAGGAAAGTGATTGTGTGCAAGTGGATCTTTCAGAGAAAGAGGCAGCAATAGAAAATGAATGTGAGAGATTCAAGGCTAAGCTCGTAGCAAAGGGCTATGCTCAGAAGGAGGAAGTGGACTACAATGAAATATTCTCTCCGGTTGTCAAGCACACTTCAATAAGGTTATTACTTGCTTTAATAGTCATGTTTGATTTGGAGCTAGAACAACTTGACGTGAAGACGACCTTTCTTCATGGTGATTTGGAAGAACAAATATTTATGAAGCAACCTAAAGGCTTCAAGGTGCATGGAAAAGAAGATCAAGTTTGCTTGTTCAAGAGATCGCTTTATGGTCTTAAGCAATCTCCCAGGCAGTGGTACAAGCTTCGACTCTTTCATGGTACGCATTGGCTATTCAAGAAGTGTGTATGATTGTTGTGTTTATTTTAAAGTTCTTGATGATAATTCCCTTATTCTATTGATGCTTTATGTTGATGACATGTTCATCGCTGCCAAGAATGCATGTGACATAACTTCTCTCAAGTCTATATTAAGTTCTGAGTTTGAAATGAAGGATCTAGGGGCTGCTAATAGGATCCTTGGTATGGAGATTCATAGAGATAGAAGTGCACGTAAACTCTAGGTAACTCAAAAAAGGTATGTTGAAAAGGTGCTGGAGTGTTTCAACATGGAAACAGCCAAGTCAGTTAGCACTCCATTGGCGAGTCACTTCAAGTTATCTGAACAGCAGTGTCCCACTACGGATGAGGAGATAAAGCAGATGTCTTTGGTGCCCTATGCTCGCGCAGTCAGAAGCCTCATGTATGCTATGGTTTGTAGCAGACCGGATTTATCTCATGCTGTCATTAGTCGATACATGAGGAATCCTGGAAGGGAGCATTGGAATGCTATTAAGTGGATTTTCAGGTATCTGAGCGGGACGTCAGATCTCAGACTTATGTTCAACAGGATGATAAGCTCTACAGAACTAGTGGGATATATCGATTCCGACTATGTTGGTGATTTAGACGAGAGAAGGTCTACTACAGGGTATGTCTTCACACTAGCAGGTAGACGTATTTCATGGAAGGCATGCTTCAACCCACGATTGCCTTGTCTACGACAAAGGCAGAGTACATGGCAGCAGTTGAGGCTGCAAAGGAGGCGATCTGGTAGACTGGTTTGGCTTGTGAGTTGGGGGTGGAGCAAGAAGGTACTGTTGTGCATTGTGATAGTCAGAGTACCATAAATCTTATAAAGAATCAAGTGTTTCATACAAGGACAAAACATATTGATGTGAGATATCACAAGATCAGGGAGCTTGTGTTAGAAAGAATCATTCACTTGAAGAAAGTTCTTACGAATGACAACCTTGCAGATATGCTTACAAAGCCAGTCACCATAGAGAAGTTCAAGCTTTGCTTGGATTTGCTTAATGTCTCTCATTGTTGAGAGTGAGGGAAACACCCCATGGCAGGTGGGGATGTAGTCGCGTACCTTTATGGAGGTACGGGGATGAAGACATCTTCAGGGTGGCTCGACAAAATTCAAGCTAAGGTGGAGATTGTTGAGGATTGATGTCTTGTATTTTGAGGAAATAGATTTGCCAAGGTGTAGTAAAAAAGACGACTCCGGAGGGTTAAAAGGCCTACGAACGAAAAAATTCAGATATATCCGTACATGGGATTCGATATATCTAGGGCTTGATATATATCCGTACAAGGGTATTTCAATAATTTGTACCATCTATCTGAGACTCAGATATATATTGTTGCGATTGGAGGTTCATCTAGGGTTAAGGGTTAAGGGAAAAATGCAGATCTCTTTGTAATTAGATAAAAACAGAGAGACGTGAGGAAGAGAGCGAATTGTAACCCTATTTTCCATTGCCAGTAAAGAAGCTCTAATCTCCCGTGGATGTAGGCACGTTGCCGAACCACGTAAATCTTTGCATTGTGGTTGGTTCTTTTTCTTTTGTATTTGTTTCTTCTTTCTTGTTTTTCGTGGATTGCTTTTCGTTTCTACATTTAGACTTAATTTTTGCAAAGGTAAAATATAAGTACTTGTAAATTGATTTCATGAGTAATGAAAATTCAGTGAAATTAAAAGGAAGTGCATTGTCATACTAAATTGTGACACCTTTTGGTTATTTTATGTCGGCAGGGCTATTTTTATTTGAATACATAGGTGTAGCATGCATGCGGCCCTACTTTATCTTTGGGCATCATAGGTCTGTTATTGCCTAAACTTTCGTGGCCTAAATGGCCTAGTCCTTCTAAGAAGCTGACAGTGGAGGATGCCTCTATGTAGCTACTTAGCAAGCTGAGGTCTTGTTCATTAATGGGATTAACTAGACGAATTGCTCTACCAAATAAGAGAAATCATCAACGCCACCCATAGAAACAAGAAAGCACTTTCAGTATGTCAATCTTTACTATGTCTGGACCTGGTCAGTTTCCCCGTGTTGAGTGAAATTAAGCCACAGGCTCCACTCCTGGTAGTGCCCTTCCATCAATTCCTTTAAATTTGAACCTCACGACCATACTCCCCTCAGAACCCTAAGCCTTTGATTTCCAATAAAGTGCCGATGGATTCCTGAAAGCACCATCCACTAATCCTTGGTCAGCATAATTTATTTACATAGAGGAAAAAGGATCATTCTTTTGTTTTTCTTAGAATGGGTAGGTGGAAGGGAATTTAAATGTTCTCCGAGATTTTGTGGGAGGTTGTAAATAGAGTTTGTGAGAATTTAGTAGCATGCAGTGATTTAGTTATTTCTGAGTTTCAGCAAAATGACCTATTAGCTCTTAAGGAGGTGAGATTTTCAGAACAACTCCAAGTAATGATGGATTCCAGAAATTTGAAATAGAAATCATTTTATGATACTTGGATATATTGTTTTACTTTCAATTAAACATAACAGATACACATATGGACTCTTGGAGTTCACTGATTTGGGGATTGGTGTTTGTTTGTTACTTTTATTGCTCGTCTGAATGTGAGATTCACGTTTGCAGATGGTGAGTAAAGTAAAAAAGGCGTGTCCACAAATACCACTGGTGCTCTATGTAAATGGAAATGGAGGTCTTCTTGAACACATGAAAGGAACTGGAGTTGATGTAATTGGGCTCGATTGGACTGTGGATATGGAAGATGGTAGGAGGCGCTTAGGAGATGGGATTGGCTTGCAAGGAAATGTCGACCCTGCTTTTCTCTTTTCTCCGCTTCCTGCACTAACTGACGAAATTCAACGGTTAGTATCTCTGCCCTAATAGGCCACTTCATGAACAGAATTTTTTCTTAAATTATATTTTTTAGCCTGTCTTTTAGGACAGTGAAATTATGCATGACATTCCATATTCGTCTTTCACCTGTTATACCTCAGTTGTCGATCAATACGAACGGACGTGCGAGCTGTTACAATTTTATCTTTGAATCGTTCACATTTTTTATTTCTGGATGCCAACTAGAGTTTTTTCTATAGTTATACTATGTTTAAAAGATGAATTATTCTTTTCGAAAGTCTAAATAACCTTCTATTGAAATTTCTAGAAACTAAATTAACTTCCAAAAACTTGGAATGTTCAGCCTTGGGTAATTTATAGTTTTTTGCATCTGCAAAATTACATCTAAAATATCAAATTATTCTTCCTCAGGATTATTTGTCCTTCGATGGGCTTTTTGAAATTAAATTAAAAGAAATGGTAGATATGTTAAATATTTTATCTCTTGGGTGCTTTTGATAAAGTTCCCATTTTCTATAGACAACTTAAGAAAACAATTGGTGATTATTATTCTGGCTATTATTAATAAAGGCATGGTTTGCCAAGAACAATAAATTTCCCATTTTCTATAGACAACTTAAGAAAACAATAGGTGATTGTTGTCCTGGCTATTATTAATAAAGGCACAGTTTGCCAAGAACTACAACTGTATGCTTTTCCTGTGCTTAATCGTTGTTGCATTTGATAGTTCAGATAGATATGGCACTAGAGCATTGATTACTGGCAGTACTTATGCTGTCTTTAGTGAAATTCAGTCAAACTTCGGGTTGCTGCAGTTTAAGACTAAAATTAGCCCTTCCTCGTGAAGTAGCCAGTACAAAATTGCCCTCCTGTTACTTTCTCAGTGGATATCCTTGTTCCTTGTTTGCTTCTCTTATCTCTAATTTGATTTCGTGTTACTTGCCATTTGCAAAATTACCAGACAAGTATATGCTTTCTTCCTTGGTTTTCATCTTGTAGTTACATAATCGGTCAGTTACGAAAAGGACAAGCAATGACTGTTAGAAAATGTTATGGCAGGGTTGTGAGATGTGCTGGGCACAGGCACATACTTAACTTTGGACTTGGCGTACTCGTGGGTACTCCCAAAGAGGCTGTTGCTCAATTCTTTGATGATTAACTTTTTGGAGAAGGCTTGGCCCCAGATCTTGTTTCTGTATTTTGACTTCAGCTTTAAACATTTCATTTCTTCGCGCTTCATATCAGTAGAGTTCCCTTTTCTTGTTTGTCAAGTGAGAATTTTGATTTATTGGAGTTGGCTTCTGTGTTCTAGGAGAGGTTAAATGTGTATCCCCTTGAGGCTGGGTTTGCAGCCGTGGCCAATGTCCAAATGAGCACACCCCTAGATAAATTTTGATGCGGACCAAACCATTGTTTCGAGACTCGGCCGGGAGTACTCGGCCTTACTCTAGGGGCAAGGTGAGTTTACCTCGAGTACACGGTACATGATTCTTAATATGTTATATAAAATAATGTATCGTTCTTAGGCATAGATATTCAAGTGGTGTATTGGTTCGTGTCCATTTTTAACTTATATGATTGTAAAGGTTCGAATCCTTTCATTGAGCCTTTTATTTTATTTTTTTTAAGCAAAACAGAAGTTATTTTTTATTTTTTAAGCAAAACAAAAGTTTAAAAATTGTCTGAAGAGGATTCGAACTTAACAACTCTTGGAAAGGGGTATTCTAGAGCTTGCCACTAACCAATGCGCCACCAGAACTTTTT